GGTCTCAATGGCTCCGCCGCCGCTGGTAAGCTGTAAACAGAAAGAAAATATTTTGAAGAAGTAAAGAACTGACGAATTTTCTTGAAGGTGAGGATTTATAACGGTATTGCTTTAAAAAAATCTTCAGGTAGAAATCTTGACTTCTGTTTGCTGAAAAAAAACAGAACTCTTTATTTTGTAAAGTTTCAAGACGCGTAGCTGGCAAAAGATAGTATCATTATCTGAAATTACAGTGCATTACTTGTTATTTAATCAACATTTTTTTCTCCATTCGGTATTCATTAATTTATCAACTACTTCTTTATTTCACATTCATGGCTGATATGTCGGCTTATACGATGCCTACTTCACTCTCTGATCAATTAGGTTCCAACGGTGCGACTGTAACAACATTAACACGAAGCTACGAGAAATTCGATGTAGATGACTCAACTTAAGTGATAGTAAAGAGTGCTAGGTTCGAATAACGAAACTAAAGAAAACGTATAATAGATCATTACCTATATAGAAGAATAGGTTGCTTGGCCAAAAGTCTTGCTGCTCTATTTCTGATCGCGATTGTGGCGACCGCCGTGACTGTTCCAACCGTTCTATTAACTTGACCGACAACAGCAAGAACAACTAGCATCATATCCACACCCTATTACTACTATAATAACGACGACGGGTGAGATCCGAGCAAAGAAAAATCTCTTTTCCATCTATGCCTTATTAGTAGCAGTCACTTACGCATAGGAAGGAGCGGGTGTCGGCGAGGGTATGCGTGTGAATATATAGAAGGCTCTCATCCACATTGACATTCAACACCAATACAAATACCCCTGTGGTTTTCACACACGATCACACTTGCCCACACATATACGTCAGCAGATACACCCGCACTCTCGATATTAGATAATCGATCAGGTATATTTTGCTATTGTGACTATCACGGGTCTACAAAACTTGGTCAGCGATAATTAGTCGATATAAAAATTAGTTGTTACCATAGATGTCATAATATCATTACACTGAGTATCGAGAGCTAAACGTCAGGATATCCTACAGAGTAATCAACTGAATTCAGTTTCACACCACACAACTTACGCCAAGGAGTAACGATCTCATTACCCATTAAATAAACCATATGTCTTCACAATTGAGGAATTTGAGTGGCTTTAGTGTAACAGACTCGTTAACCTTGAGTTCATACTGCAAGATGAGGGTGTCATGAAAGCGAGATTCTAGAGCACAGCGCAGAGTGAGGGTGCCACAAGCTCGAGACCAGTGGACATAGCGCAAACTGAGAGTATTGTGAGATCGAGATCAGGCAGTATAACAGCAATTAAGAGTGCCACCAAGCTCAGAAAAGAGGCTATACTGTAAACTGAGCGTAACACCGAGTTCAGATCGCAGACTACACCATAAAAAAATAGATGTTTTACTGAATCCCCAAAAATATACTACAAGGCATACAGAATCTACAAATCGAACTTTCAGCTCTACCAAAGCTTTAGTGGTTCTTCCCCGGATACAACGGAAGAACTTTTTTAATACGAAATCTATTCCAGTTTCATAAAGCAGAAAAGGATTTCGTGGAAAAGGGTGTGGGTCTCAGTCTTCTCTTCATCCACACCCACACCCTCACAAACAAAGTGTAAATAATTAATGGGTGACCCATAAGTCCTAGGTCCTATCAGGAAAATTGTTTTTTCTCCACTATAACAAATCCAAAGGAAATTTTGGTATATGATTCTTTGTAATATGTCGAACATTACCCTAAATTTTCATGTCTCGATTTCTCCAAATAAGAAAGGTCTATAAATAACTAACACATTTTTCATAAATTATTTTGTATGTCCAAACAATCCAAATAGCAATACTTTCTGATGTACACAGTTCAGAATCGTATTAAACAGCTTTTGTGTTTTTCATATAAGCTTTGATAGAGTAAGATCAGCTAATCAAGAAAAATTAACTTATAGCTCTTTAAAAGGCGATTCGGAACCCGTAAAATAGTTTAATAAGTTGGAAAGTGTAATGAGAAAGAAAGTTCCGCATCTTTCGAAAGATAATGCATTTTGAAATATAATATATATAAGTAAATGAACGACTTAATATTGAAATATTATATGTTTTATTTTAACAGCAGCGAAGATTTTTTGTAATTGAGAATGTCAGAATTCACTTTTGCAGAAAAACTGCAAAAAGTAAATTCTGTATAGACTATCTTTATGATGGAATTAACTGACATTGTGCAATTATATTAGCACTATTACATAGTGACATATATACCACGAACATTGAATGTTTTTCGTTCTTCGTATAGTATACATATAGGCTGTTTATAACTAGCGAACTATTGTTTTTTTACTATACGATGATATTATCATACATTCTTTTCTTTTATCTTCCATCTATAAGAGATAGATCAAAAACAACTTGCAAAAGTGAATTCTGTCATTTTCGATAGTTTTTCTTTGCTGACATTCTCAATTACAAAAAAAATAAATTTTCGCTGCTGTTAAAATAAAACATATTATATTTCAATATTAAGTCGTTCATTTACTTATAGATATTATATTTCAAAATAACTACGGCAGCATTATGGACGCATTTCGATACTAGGTAAAGGATTATTTTCGATCTATCTCGTATAGATGGAAGATAAAAGAAAAAGAATGTATAATGATGTCATTGTATAGTAAAAAAACAATAGTTCGCTAGTTATAAACAGCCTATATGTATACTATACGAAGAACGAAAAACATTCAATGTTCGTGGTATATATGTCACTATGTAATAGTGCTAATATAATTGCACAATGTCAGTTAATTCCATCATAAAGATAGTCTATACAGAATTTACTTTTTGCAGTTTTTCTGCAAAAGTGAATTTTGTCATTTTCGATAGTCTTTCTTTGCTGACATTCTCCATTACAAAAAATCTTCGCTGCTGTTAAAATTAAAAGTTTTATAATGCATTTTGCTCAAAAAACGATTCTCCGGAAACTTTTCCCCTTTCTTCATCCAAAATACTTTCTGAAGACCTAACAGTTATTTTTCTTAATTAGCTAATCTTACTCTAACAAAGCTTACATGAAAAATACAAAAACACCCTTGTTTGGACATACAAAATAATTTATGAAAAATGTGTTAGTTATTTATAGACCTTTCTTATTTGGAGAAATCGAGACATGAAAATTTAGGGTAATGTTCGACATATTACAAAGAATCATATACCAAAATTTCCTTTGGATTTGTTATAGTGGAGAAAAAACAATTTTCCTGATAGGACCTAGGACTTATGGGTCATCCATTAATTATTTGCACTGTGTTTGTGAAATAAACAAACAAACATTCTAACGTATATTGTAGGTGTAGTTGACAAGCATATTACTGTTTTGCCAATGGAAATTCGACAATAAAAATCATACACGTTGTCCAAATTCCGATGGAAAACTGACAAAAAAATTCCCAGCAAAAAGAAATTCTGTCGTAATTCCATGAGAACTTCGACAACGTGGTCCAAATTCAGATGGCGAAATTCCTTTTGTCAAAATTCCATTTTACCGTTTTTATCACTAGTACTATTGATCAACGGGAAAATTTTAATAACGAAAATAAATATCAATCTAATCTTTATTATCCTATAATTGATTCTATATTAATTGAATTAATCATTATCTTTAAAAGTTGTTTTAAAAAAATATAAATACACCATTTTCTCTCTGTTGTATGAAAAGAAACGTATTACATCATTTTAGATAATCTTTAGAAAAGTGGTAGGGCGCAGCATTACCACCCGGCTATCTCTGGTTACGCCGCTATAAATAGGCATTGAAAACTTCATTTATGATTAAAAAAAACAATGAATATTCTACTGAGATCAGTTTTTTTACTCTTTTATACTATGACCATTTGTATTGCAGTGCAATATAAATGTGACAGTAGGAATACATCATGTGGTTGTGGACGTTTTAATGTTCAATTGAATTCGACAAATAATTTGAATGGAGAAAATGCGATTCAACACAGTTGGCCAATGATTGTTCTTCTTGATTTTCACTGGCCAATACAAAGCACTCCTTGTAGTGGTTCGATTTTAAGCAATTATTTTATCTTAACGAGTGCTCACTGTGTGCAAAAAATCTCGGCATTTGACATCATAATTAAAGCTGGTATTCATTATCCACAAGATGAAAATGTAACAAGTCATGTAGTAAGACGCATTTATCTTCATCCTGATTATACAGGTCATAGTGATGGATACGCTAATAATATAGCACTTTTAGAATTAAGAGAACCACTAAACTTCAATGATAATCCCTATATTACTCCAACATGCTTACCTATTAAAAACTCATCAATAAATGTGTCACAGTATCCAAAAACTGGTTCACGGTTAGCTGTAATCGGATGGCAGTCATTAAGATCAGATAAAATAGATATATTTAATGCTCTTAAGCAAGGAGAAATCTTCCTTATTGGTAACAATTATCCAATATGTCGACGTTCATTTATCGATCCAGATAAACAATTTTGTGCTGGAATTTTAAAAGGTGGCATAGGTCAGTTTGATGTTTTTTTATTTTTTATTAAACAATTATATTTATTTATTTGAATAGATCCATGTTATGGTATGTTGCATACATATTGAGTTGTTATAAATCACTACTGCTTTTATAAATTTAGGTGATGCCGGTGGACCTATCTTACAATGGATGGGAAACCGATGGGAACAGGTAAATCTATTCATTTCTTTCCGAGACTCACTATAGATCGTTCGATCATCTAACGTTCTAATCTATTATCAAATCTAGGTGGGTATAACAAGTTATTCCAGATGTGGAATTCCAGGTTATCCAAGCATTTATACTCGTCTAGCCTTTTATATTGATTGGATCAATTCTATTATTAAAAATCGTAATGAATCGTTATATGCAACAACAACTCGAAATCCTCCAATAAATTATATGTGTGACAGAAAGAAAGTAAATTGTGGTTGTGGTTATCGTGATGTTCGACTTCCAACTTCGAGAATCATTGGTGGTGAAGATGCTATTCCTAATAGTTGGTCAATGATTGTATCAATTCGAGGAAAACTGTTCGATTGGGATGTTAAGACAAGACATATTTGTGGCGGTACTATTATTAATGAATGGTATGTTCTTACAGCAGCGCATTGTGTTGATAATGGTATAACAAGTTCATATTCAAATATGTCTATTGCATTTGGAATGCATAATCAATTAGAAGAAAACCAAACACTTCGAGAATTTGATCGTATTATAATTCATCCATTATGGGGAGAAGGAGAACGATTTTCAAATGATATTGCTCTTCTTCATTTATCGGAACCACTAGATTTTGAAGCAAATCCATTCATTTCTAGAACATGTCGACCTCCTCGAATGAATTCAACAGAATATATATATAATTATCCATTGAATGCTACTCTTTTGGCTGCTGTTGGTTGGGGTCGAAGCTCTAACTCAGAGTCTCCGGAGATATTGCAACAAGTCGATTTTTATTCAATCCATCACAATGATTCATCATGTGCAAGCATCTTTGATTATGAAACGCAATTCTGTGCAGGTGTTGAAAATGGTCGAAAAAGTAATCATAAGAAAAATTAAGAATTTAATTATTTATTTTCTTTATTACAGATGTGTGCCACGGTGATTCGGGTGGCCCGATCCTTCAATGGCTTGGCGATCGTTGGGAACAAGTTGGAATAGCATCATATACCCTAGATGGTTGTGGACGCCGGGGTTATCCATCATTTTTCATACGACTAGCTGCTTATTACGATTGGATAGAATGGAATATTAATCCAAATAATTACACAACATCAACATCAACATCAACAACAACCACAATAACAACACAAACTCCAAGTCAAACTTCATCACTTGTAACAGCAAACAGTACATCTGAATTGCCTATAATAATATATGAATGTAATAAGACAATATCATGTGGATGTGGAAGACTTGATGTTTCTCTCACTTCATCGGGAAGTGTGGGTAGCGCTGATGCTAAATTTTGGCGTTGGACAATGATTGTTTCTATTCGTTTCAATGATACAGATCAACATTCATGTGCTGGAACAATTCTTACTGATCGATATATTCTTACTGCTGCTCATTGTGTACAAAATCAATCTTTATGGAAAATAAAAGTCGTGCCTGATATTTACCGTTTATCAACCACAATTTCGAAAACTTATCAAATCGATCGAATTCATCAACATCCTGATTATAATAATCGAGGAAAAACTTTTGAAAATGATATAGCTCTTTTACATTTAACCGAATCCATGAAGAGTGTAGGCTCTTTGCTCCGTCGTTCAACATGCGTACCTAAAGTACAGTCTCTCATGGATATGTCGCAATATCCATCAAGTAAAATTCGATTAGCAATTATTGGATGGAGAATAACAAAACAAAATCAAAGTTATATAGCTAATTATCTTCAACAAGGCCAAATCTCTGTTATTGATAATAAGGATACGATATGTTCAAACTCAACTATAGGTTCCAATAAACAATTCTGTGCTGGATTCGAACAAGATGGAGTAGGTATGTATTCTCTTTGATTTATCATGATTAATTATATAATGAGTATCATTATTTCTTTATTATATACAGATTCCTGTCCTGGTATGTATTGTGATAATCATCACAACATTGAATGTTTTGTTTCTTTTGACAGGTGATCCAGGCGGACCGATATTTCAATGGATGAATGGATATTGGGATCAGGTAAATAAAATGCTTTTGTATTTTTCATAGAACAATTTATTCAACCAAACAAATCTTAAGAAAATGAATATATATCTAGAGTTTTGTTTAGGTAGGTATTATTAGTTCTGGTAAATGTGGTATTGATGGTCAGATTGGCATCTTTACTCGACTTACTTATTATTATGATTGGATGATGTCTGTACTTGATTATGACAATGAAACACTTGCAACAGTAACACAAATAAATGCTACAAAAGTTTCAATAGTTTATCATTGTAATAAAAACAATGTTAGTTGTGGTTGTGGATATACCGATGTAGAAATAACTCAACCTCGTATTATGAATGGTGAAAATGCTGTCGAAGGAAGTTGGTCAATGTTTGTTTCGCTTCGTATTTTGAATAGTAGTAAACATATATGTGGTGGAACTCTTCTTTCAAATTTATTCGTCCTTTCCGCTGCTCATTGTGTTAAATCATTTTTATTGGCAGATCCTTCAGATCTAACTATTGTGGCAGGAGTTACTAAGCAATCAGATCCAGAACGACATATACGTAAAATTCGTCGAATTTATATACATCCAAACTATACAGATCAAGCTAATGGATTTATAAATGATATAGCTATATTAGAACTTGATTATCGATTTTTAGTTGATTTAAATCCAGTATTAAGTAAAACATGTGTTCCACCTATTAATTCGTCCATATTAAATAATCAGTATCCATCAAATGGTACACAATTAGTTGTTATTGGATGGGGAACAACTGAACATGAACAACCAGATATTTTACAACAAACAGAAGTTTTTACAATTGATAAAGATTATCCAATTTGTTCCAATTTAATTAATGATGTTCGAAAACAATTTTGTGCAGGAATATATCAAGAGAGAAAAGGTTACTAATCTATTTAATAATATTTTGATTTAATAAATGTCTTTTTTTCCTTCTATAGATTCATGTCAAGGTATACTTTAAAAAATAAATTTTCTTTTTATTTAAATGAAATAATTTTGTGTTTAAGGAGATCCTGGTGGACCTATATTTCAATGGCGAGGAGAATATTGGGAACAAGTAAATAATAAATAGAATATCAAATATTTGAATATATTAGTTGTTTTAGGTTGGAATTATTTCTTATGGAGATGGATGTGCTTTAAATAGTTCTCTCCAAATATATACACGACTTTCAAGTTATGTTGATTGGATAAATCAAGTCATAAATGATCATAGTATTGCAACGCTTACTACTAGATCATCAACAACACTTACTACTAGATCATCAACAACACTTACTACTAGATCATCAACAACACCAAGGCGAAATTGTGCTTTGAAACATCAACTAAATTCTATTTTATCGAAAATATTCATTTTCATTATTTTCATTTCATTAATCAAAAGTTAACAATATTTGACATTTTCAACTAATATATTTGACATAATCTTTAAAAATTGTAATAAATATTTTTCATAAACTCGCAACGTCAGGGAAGTTAGCGGCAGATTCGAATAAAATCAGCGAACATTCGCCCCAGAAGCTGTGTCAAAAACCGCAATAACTGTGTCTTCTAGAGCATCGAATATGCCATAAATCCATACAAAGCCCACCGCTACCAAGGCTACCATAACCAAGGAAAAATTCAAATACTACCTTTTCAACATATGTTTTCATCAAAAACCAACATATTATCAAAAGACATTCACCTTTCCGACTGTGTCAATTGGGAAAGTTAGTGTGTCTAATGCAACTTGACAAGCTCTATCCAATGGTGCATAATTCAATACATTTTGAGTTGGTTAAGTCTACTCAAAAGGCAATATACCGCTAACATCCCATAACCCCGAAAGTAATCCTTAGGGATATTCATGTCAGACACTGTGTCAATTGGGAAAGTAGGTGTGTCTAATGCAATTTGACACGC